CTCTGGTGTAATAATTTCTATATTTTTTCACAAAAGCGAAATATCTCGATGATTCAAGATTTGGGACCTTAAAAGGTTTTTGATAATTGTCGGCTTCATTATTATCATGGTTTCACGAAGCATCGAATGATCTCAGAGATAGAAAGAGGAATGTTAGGGTGCAAATGCCTTTATTGGAACAATCTGAGAGAATTTCTGCCATTGAAGCAACCTGAAACCTTCTCGCTTCCTGCTTCAATTCCCCAGTGGCCTTCAGGTAGCATCTATGATTCCAATTCTTCTTTAGTGATTTTCAATTTCATCTTCTTCGATTCCGATCCGAAAGGAACATGCTCTGTTTCCCCCAATATTCCCGGAATCGGATTTGATTTTCCTGTAAAATTTCTGGATTTAGCTCTTTAGTTCCGATTGTGATTTGATCCAGTCCACGAAGAACAACTTTTTTACTTTCTTGATTTAACCTTCAGATGCTAGTTTCAGTTTTTGTGTTTAATACACTTTATATGCTTTGAGCTGATTCAGGTAAAGGCTTTGCTTCAAGAAGAATCAGTCTTGGCGATTTAGAAGTCGCCGGGATCACCGATTTTGAATTCATATGGCGATACTGCTCTCCTAAAGACATCAAGAAGAGTGTTTCCTTCTACAAACCGGACAAATTGCCTGAAGGTTTCCACTGTTTAGGTCATTACTGTCAGTCTGATTCTCGCCTCTTGAGAGGTTTTGTTCTTGCAGCAAGAGAAGCCGTGACTTCGGAATCGAGAGAGCCTGCACTTGTGAAACCGCTTGATTATACATTGGTCTGGTGCTCAAATGACTTATCGGAAGAGAGTAATCGCGAATGCGGTTACTTCTGGTTACCGCAGGCTCCTCAAGGGTATAAACCGATCGGATTTTTGGTTACGACGAGTCACTTGAAACCGGAATTGGATGAAGTTAGATGTGTTCGAGCTGATTTAACAGATAAATGTGAATCGCATAAAGTCATGATCACCGCTGTATCGGAATCTTTAGGTGTTCCTTTGTTTATATGGAAAACAAGACCGTTGGACCGCGGAATGTGGGGCAAAGGAGTCTCTTCAGGTACATTCTTCTGCAGAACTTGGTCGATGATTCCACCCGAAGAAGATGATCATATCGGTATCATCGCTTGTTTGAAAAACCTTGATTCGAGTTTACACGCAATGCCGAATATCAATCAAATCCATGCTTTGATTCAACACTATGGTCCAACAGTTTTCTTCCATCCTAGTGAAGCTTATTTACCTTCTTCCGTCTCATGGTTCTTCAAGAACGGTGCGGTTTTATGCAGCTCGAATTCGAACATCCACGAACCAGTCGATGAGAACGGATCGAATCTACCTCACGGAGGAACCAACGATAAACAGTATTGGATCGATTTGCCACATAATGATGAACATAGAAGTACATTTCTCAAGCGAGGAGACCTCGAAACAGCGAAGCTCTACGTTCACGTTAAGCCAGCATTCGGAGGAACGTTCACCGATCTAGCGTTCTGGATTTTCTGTCCTTTTAACGGACCAGCGACTCTAAAGCTAGGGCTAGTCAATTACTCGTTGGCTAGGACCGGTCAACACGTTTGTGATTGGGAACATTTCACACTCAGAATCAGCAATTTATCCGGCGAGCTTTACTCGATTTACTTCTCTCAACACAGTGGCGGAGAATGGATCGAAGCTCAAGATCTTGAATTCGTCGAAGGAAGTAATAGAGCAGTGGTTTACTCGTCGAGACATGGTCACGCGAGTTTTCCCAGGTCTGGTTTGTATTTACAAGGATCTGATATGCTCGGGGTTGGGATAAGGAACGATATGGCAAGAAGCGATTTGTTTGTTGATTCGAGCTCGAAGTATGAGATTGTTGCGGCGGAGTATCTCGGAGACGTGGCGGAACCGCCGTGGCTGGGTTATATGAGAGAATGGGGACCGAAGATTGTGTATGAATCGAGAACGGAGATTGAGAGGTTGAAGGAGAGATTGCCGTTGAAGTTAAGGACTTGGGTTGGTGCTGTGTTGAAGAAGCTTCCGGTGGAATTGTCCGGCGAGGAAGGACCAACGGGACCAAAGGAGAAGAACAATTGGTTTGGTGACGAAAGATGGTGACATTTTCCCGATGAGCATGTTTTTTTTTTGATTTTTTTGTATTGGGCCACAATATCTGTATATATGGGCCTCATATATTTTATTTATCAGGCCCACCACGTATTATTAATTCACCACGTTTCTACTTCCTTCTTTGTTGTTCTCTCTTCACAACCAAACTCTGGTTTTCTTCTGATCCGTGAAGAGTTATGAGACTATACTGTAACGTTAGGGAAAACGTACTAATTTACCCCCCCCAAAACGTATGTATTTCTTTAGATATATCCGAAAAACTAATTTTGTACTATTTGTCCTTAAAACATGTTTATTTCCTCCACACAATAAACATTAAACGTTTATTTCTTCACAGAATGAATATTAAACGCTGATTTCACCCCCAAATTGGGTTAAACTCGGTTTATTATAGATCAATTTTCTATTAACTAATTTATTAGAAAACCGTTACTTACCGTTAATAACCCAATTACAAAATAGTAAACCGAAATCCACAGTGATGAACGCAATAATCACTGACTGAACCAAGCTTCCCATCACTTGCCCTTTTCTCAGCACCAAATCATCTACTTCCCATAATCAGAGCACTTAGACTAAGCCTCTCGATCTCAAGGCACAATCTCTCTCCCTCGTATCATGATCTTTCACTATATGGATCTTGTAAGGAAACCCTAATTCCTTCTACGGCTTTGCGAGATCCGCCACTTTAGAGGAAGTGAAGCATCAAAATCCCCTTGACTTGCTCCTGCGATTGGTGAAATTGAGAAGATGGATCTTCGGAGATCGACGGCGACTCCGATTTTACGGTGAGCTCCAGCGGTTGGAGTTGGGGTTGCGGTGGAGGAGGGAGTGGAAGAGGCGAAAGTTGAAGCGGCGGAGGAAGGGAAGGAATCACCGACGAAGCGGACGTGAAGGGAGACGGTGACT